CCCTAAACCCTATAAGCCCCAAGCCCAAGGATATCCCGTCAGCACTCGCTCAGCAGCCTTAGAGTTGCGCAAGGAGGGCACCGCAAATCCTAACCCCTAAACTTCCCCCCCGAAGCCGTCCTAGGGTTTAGGGTTTAGGGTTTAGGGTTTAGGGTTAAGGGCCCAAATCCCAAGACCCCAAAATGCTACGGTTTAGGGTTTAGGGTTAAACTCCCTAACCCCTGAACTTCCGTAACCATTAACGTCCGTAAAGGCCCCCTGAACCCTAGACCCTGGAAGGAGGGCAGTCACCTGCTCCGGGCCGCAGCCGCCGACGGCGCCGAGGCGGCGCGCGAGCCGCGGTGTCTCGGCGTCCCGTGGCGACAGGAGCTCTGGAGCAGGGTCATGAAGGCGCCCCGGCAATAAGTAAGTATAGAAACACAACAAGTAGTAGTAGTAGTAGTAGTAGTAGTAGTAGTAGTAGTAGTAGTAACGTCGTAGTAGTAGTAGTAGTAGTAGTAGTAGTAGTAGTAACGTAGTAGTAGTAGTAGTAGTAGTAGTAGTAGTAGTAGTAGCAAACAATGAAACCAATAGTAAAAACCAAAAGAAGACCGTAAGAATATTTATATCAAAACTCACAATAAAAACAATATCAATAATTCCAACAATACTAATACTAATAGTAATAATAATGCTAATGATACTCATAAGATTCATAAGACTAGTATTGATAATGCCCAACACGGGTTTGGGGCCTTAGGGATCAACACAGTCCATAGGGGTTTAGGGTTTAGGGTTTGGGGTTTAGGGTATAGGGTGTAGGGTATAGGGTTTAGGGTATAGTAGCAAGAAACATAGCCATCGCCATGACGGTGGCCATGACCATGACAGTAACTCCAGCAGAGAGACATGTAGCAAAAACAAACAGCAGTCATAATCATAATTATATTCGCAGTTGCATTCGTTCATTGTAAGACATGAAAGATGAATACTAGCAATGCTGACGACAGTAAGAAGGGTAGCACTGTCCCACAGTCCCTGTTTGAAGACGCATGCCCAGCCTAGACTGGAACCCATCCTGATCCTCAGGTGTGCAACGAGACCTGGCAATGTCTGACCATCGTGACCACCACCGAAAGCCCGGTCACCCATCAGGAGAAGTCATTGCGGAGGTCTGTAGAGATTCTGTGCGGCTCCCCCAGCTTCCAAGAAAAGCTCCGGAGCCTGCAGCTTCGGACGCAGAAGGCTTTCCAACTGACCATGGGCTATCTGCGACAGAACTACTACGACGAGAGGAACACCGAGATGATTGAGCTACAAGAAGAGATGATCATCAGAGCATCCTTCGCAGAGACTGGCCTGCATCAGATCATTGCCGAGCTTCACACCGACTTGCGGATGGAGGAAGGCGCCCGTCAGCTGCTGGACAACCCGGTGTGCGCTGTGGCCATGTTCCTGATGATGTTCGAGGCACTCGTTGCGCGTGAGGTGCAACTGGAGACAGCCATCTTGGAGCAGCCTGAGGTGTGGCAGCTGCTGACTGAGAAAGATTCTAGGTGACACTGGTATTTTCGTGTTTACTTTCGGGCAGGGTCTTATGGCAGTACCTATTCTTACGTCTAAACCCTAAACCTAACTCCCTAAGCCCTAAGTCCAAATCCCTAATCCCTGAACCCAAATCCCTAAACCCTAAACCCAACACCCAAATCCCTAAACCCAAAACCCAAATCCCTAAACCCAAAACCCTATTTTCGGTTGAGTGGTCCCCCCCCCCCTCCAGGATTTCGAATCAGAGCTGAGTGCACGCAGCTCAGATTCCCTGGGCGCGCTCCACTCCTTCTGCGTGTAGGGCCAAAGCCGTGGTGCACAAAGTTGCCTTCGAAGCCCTGAGCACGCGTACTGGTTTGGGGCATGGGGTTTCGCTTCATGTAGAATAGCCCAGCGTGGTCCAAGGTGTCATACGCCACTGTGGCATCTCTGCAGCATGCTTGAGTTAAGTGCGTATATATTATGTGTGTATTTGTATATGTATGTGTGATATATGCTAGATGATCTCTTACTGTATATGTACCAGCATTCTCTTAATGCATACTGTTCGGACATATATATATATATATATGCACATGTCATACATGTGTTTACAAACCTGTATGCATGGGTATCTGCACGAGACCTTTTTGCTACCGTACAGCGGTATGTTTCTGCGGTACCTACCGGACTTTTACAATAAACTCATCGTTTTCGTGAGCATTCTCGGTTGCTATTATCAGGATTGCATGTCCTGGCCCTGGTCAGTTAAGACGTAAGGGTTTAGGGTTTAGGGTTTAGGGTAGCATGTGTTTGGAAGTAGCATGAAGGGCACTTGGCTTCAGCTGTTTTTTGGTGACCGTTGAGTGGTAGCAGAGATGCCGAGCCACCCTAAACCCTAAACCCTAAACCCTAAACAGTCCTTGCTTTCCAGCGGAGAGCGGAGGAGATCGGCGCCACAAAACGGTTGCATTGTCGGAGCCTTTCCAAGCCCTAAACCCTAAATCCTAAACCCTAAACCCTAAAGGATTTTCCGGTGCAAGCTTGTTCGTGGCTTTGATTGCAAGAGTCTTCGGCACACGAGTTAGCTTGAGTGTGTTCGTTCCGCTGGTTCGGTTCCTAGGCAAGATAGTTTTAGACAGATTGCGGTGGACACCAGCATTTCACGAGCAGCCCCTGCTTTGTGAACTCTTTATGATGTTGGGTCTGTGGTATGGGGTTTCTTCCAGCCTACTATCATATGCCAACATCGCTATAGACTAAGCCCGGCAAGGGCCCGCACAACTCTCTTCGGTTTGTCTGGCGCACAAGGGAGATCCCTAAACCCTAAACCCTAAACCCGAAACCCTAAACCCTAAACCCTAAACCCTAAACCTGAGATGCCAGGGCCCGGGTGTTTCCAAGGATCTTGAAGGCGATCCGCGACCGACGGCCGCACCATCCGGCCTTCTTGACTGCTTCCTTTCAACGCTCAAGCCTACACCCTTAACCCAAAACCCTGAAAGGCCTAAACCCGAAGGCGTAAATTTTGAGAGTAGCTTTCAGGATTCGCAATCAGTCCATTCTCGCTTCCGGTGCCTTTCGGCTGGAGCCTTGTGCTTTTTCACCTCGGCTGCCGCTATGGTGCATAGCGACACGGAGACTCTGGTTGACCAAAGCCGTCAGCCCGATGCGCTGTCTTCGGAGAGGTCGATCGGGACGACGCGTGTTGCTGGGATCCTCGGCGCTCTTGGCCTCGTTGCTTGGACTTGAAAGCCTGAACTTCTGGCACTCCGTTGCTCTGTTCTCTCACGCTTCCCTAGACCCTAAGCCCAAAACCCAAAAGCCTATTCCTTGGAGCCACTCTAAGCCCCAAAACCCAAAAGCCTAGACCCTCAAACCCTAAACCCAAACCCTAAACCCCTAAGCCCCAAAGCCCCTAAACCCTAAACCCTAAACCCTGAACCCCAAGCTCCCGGAAGCCAAGGTTTTTGGGGCGCTGGGCCTGGTGATAACATGGGGAGCGCAGGCTTCCCCCGAGTTCCCCACGCAGTCAGCAGACGCCGGGGAGGAAAGCTTGGATCTCAGCGGCTCAGCTCTTTTTGAAGGTTCAGGGTTTAGGGATTCAGGTATGTAGGGCTTAGGAGTTGAGGGTTTAGGGTTTCGGGTGTAGGTTTGGGTTAGGTTTGGGCTTCAGGGTTCGCGGTTTAGGGCTGAAGGTTTGGCGATTCGGGTTTAGGTTTGTGGGATTTAGATCGTATCCTTGCCTTTTCAAGAAGTGTTTTTTCAACAGAAGCAGGTTGCACGGATGCACAGCAGTCATGTAGACCCTTGATTTGGCAGCCATCTATAACAAAGGCCCCTGAAGAAAAGCGGTGTTCGCGAGGAGGCGACCTTCTCCCTGAACCCTAAACCTAAACCCTAAGCCCTAAACCCGAAGCCCTAAACCCTAAGCCCTAAACCCTAAACCCTAAACCCGATATCATGGTTCGCTCCGCTAGAGCCGGTCAGGTCTGAGGTTAACGGCTAGCTTCTTGTCTGAGAGTTGCAGAGCAGCGTCGACCCTCTGTTTTTTGAGCGCATCTCCATGCCTATCACTTGCTTCTTCTTCTTCATCGGGTTCTTGTCATGGTTTCTTTGCTTCTGGATCTCATTCGTGTCATGCCCACCCTAAACACCAAACCCTAAACCCTAAACCCTGAACCAAAAACTCGAAACCCGTCGCCTCGGGGCTGTCCTCGAGAGAGAAAGTGGACCCCGAAAGCCGAGGCGAGCTGATGGAATTCTTCCGATCCCTGAAGGAATGCCGGGGTTCCGGCTGTAGCCTCCGAAGGGATATGGGTAGTTTTCCTAAACCCTAAACCCTAAACCCTAAACCCCTTTTGGGGTCCTTTCTATAAGGGTGCCGTGCTATGTTGGGGATCTAAGAAGGGAGCCTAATTTAGAGAACTACCCATATGCTTCCCTGTATGGCTGTGGCTTTCGGCGATGCAGGTCCAGATCTTTTGATTGACTGGGAATTAAGTTTGGGTACGCTTTCCCGAAGAAACAGTCGACAGTGCTTCGAACGGCACAGCTTGTTCAGGGCATGTCAAAGTCCTTGGAGAATACTGGTTGTTCGGCTCTCGTCTTGTTAAGAGGTCTTGAGCTGAAGGCTTTGTGACAGATTCGGGGCATTCCGGTCCAAGGCCCTCATGACCTCGAATCCAGCATGTCTCGCACATCTCCGGAAAAGGCTTCACAACGCTAAACCCTAAGCCCAAGCCCTAAGCCCTAAGCCCTAAACCCTAAACCCTAAACCCCTAAACCACTAAACCCTAAGCCCAAAGCCCTAAGCCCTAAGCCCTAAGCCCTAAACCCTAACCCTTAAACCACTAAACCCTAAACCCTAAACCCTAAGCCCCATCATCTCCCACCGCTCCGGGAAGGCACACCCGCTGGGTGCCAAAGCCCTCGCAGATGCGAATGCATCCTTCGGCCTGACGCGCGACCCCCTGGGTCGGAGAATCTGGGAAGACTTTCCCGTTCCCACACTCTCCGACGCAGCGGACCCGAGAAGCCTGCAGGTGGGCAGTTCTCTAAATTAGGGCCCCCCTTTTTGGGTACCCAATATGACAGGGCACCCTTATCAAACGGACCCTGAAAGGCACCCTAATTCAGAGAACTACCCAGGCGTCTTTGTTTTATGGATTTTGCAGGCTGAACCCTGCCCCGTCAACCCAAACCTTGAAGCCCGAAGCTGTGAACTCCAAGCCCTTTTGTGCCCTGCACCCAACAGCCCTCAATCCTAAGCCCCTGAGCCCTGAGCCCTCGTAGGCCCGAGTCCTAAACCCGCAGCCCTAAACCCTAAACCCTAAACCCTAAACCCTAAGCCCTAAACCCTAAGCCCTAAACCCTAAACCCTAAGCCCTAAACCCTAAGCCCTAAGCCTAGGTTTCGCTGCGGAAGCTGCCGGAGCCGCGGATTCTGTCTGAGGACGTAGCGGAGACGGCCTCAAAGAGCCGCCACCGGCCACCCGACGCGCCTCTCCTCCGGGAGCTCGCTGAGACACTTTGCTTTAGGGCTCGGCAGGGTGGTTTAGGGGTTTTAGGTGTTTAGGGTTTAGGGGTTTAGGAGTTTTGGGGTTTAGGGTTTTAGGGTTTAGGGCTCGGCAGGTTTGTTTTGGGGTTTAGGTGGTCAGGGTTTAGGGTTTAGGGCTTGGGGTGTTGAAGGGACGAGGGTCTGGGGGTTTCAGGGGTGTGCTTGTAGGCTGTCATGCGCGGAGTATGAGGAGGTCGGTTGCAAACAAATTCTGACTATACCACAACATGTTCCATCTTAGCTAAGGACACACTAATGGAACAGCAAACTATGACATACAATATTCCTGCTGACATGTATATCAGTCTTCTACACTTCTGTGCAATGATGTACCAGTGCATCTTGAAGTATTTTGACAATGCTGAAAAGATAGCAGTGAGCCGTCGTACTTTGAGGTTCAGATATTCGGGGATTCGGGTTGTGGGTTTTGGGGCTTGGGGTATTACAGTATTAGGGTAGGACGGTCTGGGGTTTAGCGTGGACGAGCTTGCTCAACAGCATGATTTCTTGCCTTACTTCGTGTGGCATTGTTCCTGGCTTTTGCAAATGGGCGGGAGTTTGGCAGACGAATCATCAAGTTTGGCTTGTACCTGCGCCTTCATATAATTCGCCCACGTTTCTGCGAAAGTTGGCTGGAATGCTCCCTGGTGTCCTTGATCTGCAGGCCTGACTAGTTGATATTAGTATCTCGGACATCGTCCTAGGAAACTTCGGTGCACAAAGCAAGAGACACATCAAAGCCTTGAAACCCTAAACCCTAAACCCCAAAATCGTAAAAACTTAAAACCCTAAATCTTAAACCCTAAACCCTAAACCCAAAAAACCCTAAAACCCTAAAACTTAAAACCCTAAACCCTAAAACCCTAAAGCCCTAAACCCTAAACCCTAAAACCCTAAAACCCCAAAAACCCTNNACCCTAAACCCTAAACCTAACTTATCTCGGCCTCAGGATGCTGGATCCTGAAGGACGTCCGGTACCACCGACCTCCGACATCTTCAGCCCAGAGTCTCGTCGAGACTTTTCACAGCACCGACCCCCGAGAGTTTAGCTTTAGGGTCTAGGGTTTCGGGTTT